GGCACAGGCTGCGCTGGCAGCCGGCTGGGCCGCTCGAGCCCGTGGCCTAACCAGCTGCGCGCCAGGGCAACTGCGGAGCCCGACGCCAAGGCCCCGCCCGCCGAGTAGACTGGAATCTCCGCGCCCGGGCTCTGGCGGTTTCTTTTTTTCTTTCCTGAGCTCCCCAAGTGATTCTAATCTGTAGCAGGCATTGAATCACTGATTCGCATTTAAATCATTGTCTTAGAGGAGCATCCACGTTATATCTAAGTAAAACTAAAAATGTAGTAGCAGAATAATGTGAAACATTTTGAAATATGACTTATCCTTACATATATTCTTTATATATTTGTATATTTTAATATAAATGTAGAAAATATGTGGTAAGATACACATCAGACTTGTTTAGTCGGTGGAGAAGAGTGGAAGAGTGAGGGGGTTTCACTAGCTTTCAATTTGGGTCTGTGTCATTTGACTGAACAAAAGGAGTAGGTATCGCATTTATGATTTAAATACATGTAATCAAGTTTTAAAAATTAATACTTATATGCCCAGCCGGGCGTGGCTCAGCAGTTGAGCCCACGTGGACCTAGGATCCAGGTGATCCGGGTTCGATTCCCAGTCAGGGCCCATGCCTGGGTTGCTGGCTTGATCCCCAGTGGGAGGCGTGCAGGAAGCAGCCGATCAATGACTCTCTCATCATTGATGTTTCTCTCTCTTTCCCTCTCCTTTCCTCTCTCCGAAATCAATAAAGATATATATATTTTTAAATAAAATAAAAATTAATACTTATAAATATCATTGCAAATAACCATTGTGAAAGTGGGCTTCAGTTTGTTCGTTTTGCAAATGTTCCTCTAATATCTAACTTTTCTTATAAGGGTCATTTTCATTTTGTAACAGTAAGTAAATAAATCCATAAAATCTTTGATTTAACACATTTGCTACCAAAATGTAAGTATTAATCCATACAGTCATTGCCAAACTTTTTGTATTCACTTTCTTGTAATTTCAGAAATATATTCAATTTTTTATGTACCTATCTTCTCATGAAGTTTTAAAAAAACAAATATTCAAAGTATATCATATAGATGTAAGAAAATTTCATCTTTTCCAAGTGAATAATTGTTTGTAATTAGTATCTCAATACTTATAGCTTTATAATTAATTGACAGTAGGAAACATATGACATAGTATCTAGGTCTGATCTGGCTTTAAATCTTAGTTCTGCAAATTTTCAGATATATGATCTTTAGTACCATCTCTAAGCCTCATGCAGCTAAAGTGCTCGTGAGTGTGTAAAGCAAATAATAGGTGCTTAATAAGTGATAGTTATCAATTCACTGACTTCTATTTTTTCCTCTCTTTTAGTGGACTAAAATTTTATCAGAAATCATTTTCATAAAACAGTAAGCATGATTATTCCTGTGACCAATGATGCAGCTTCTTCAGTTATATGTGAAAAAGAAACATATTCTTTCAGGCCACTGCTTTAACATGTAACACATAAAACAATGTTTTATTTGTTTGCCTCAAAATATTTGACATATGCCACTGTTTCCTAAGCACTGATATTTCCTAAACATGAACTGAGTTTGCATGATTCATAATCAACCTTTCTGTCCCCCTGTACTTATCTTATTAACAGAATGTAACTCAGATGAGGATCAACTTTCTTACTTTTGGACCAAAAAAAAGAAGAAGGGGGAGAGAGAGAAGTCAGTGCTTCAAGCAATAGGGGCTTATTACTTACAGATGAACCCTGATTTTAATAACATCATCACTGCATTTTTTCCCCTCTCTTTTTTATTTCCTTACTATTTACTGAGCAGTAATAAAACATTTGTATGTTCTAGGTAACTATTACCTCATTTAATTCTCTTATCAGCCCTGAGTTCAGTGTTCATTTAGAAATAGAAATCTGACAGGCAGAGAGACACATGGCACAGCTAGCAGGTGAAAGACATGAGGACCTACGTTCTATTGTGGACTATTCAGAAAAGCATTTGATGACTTCGGAAGGTGAGTGTTAGAAGATTTTTGTTGGGGGAAGGTAAAATGATGCTATGACCAGAAGTGTGTTGTTGAGAGTAGAAATTCTATATATGGAGTGGGCAAAAGTAAGTTTATAGTTGTTTGTATGGAGAAAGACATGCAGGTTATAATTATTATGATAGTTATATTAACTTAAAATAATGTCATAATGCAACTGTAAACCTACTTGTGCCCACCATTGTATTTTGGAAACAAGAAGAATATATCTACATCATTATTACCAGTTGTAAACTTGGCCTTAATTTTATGTGTGCATTTCTTAAAAAGAGGAATTACATTTCCTTCCCTTTATGCCAAGTGTTTCACTTCCCTCCATATGAAAACAAGATGGCTTTTAATCTTCTAAAAACCCTTGAAATGCAATGATTACACAGAATACCAGAAAGGGAAACTCTGTAATGGTGGAGATTCATGCTGGTCCCAGAGTTCTAGATCAGTCCATTGACCCCTTCTTGATCTGTCTGTAATGTGATGAAAAACCCTGTCAATAGGACAGTGGCAGAATTCTCACAGGGATCGATGACCCTTTAGTTCAGGAAAAATAATTCATCAGTCCCTTATTTAGAAGAGGTAGGCCCCAGCTTTTGTCTGAATTTAGGTTTAATTAAGACACAGATGTATTCATTTCTCTGGGTATTACATATTTTGCCTACTGGCCGGAAAATTCAGGAATCTAGGAGCTTTGGATAGGTGAGAAGATGGGTGATAGCTCTTCCCAGGGAGCAGATGGGATCAGCCTCTAAGAAAGGGCATTCAAACTTGGAGCAGAGGCGGAGGAAGGCTGGTAGAGGATGACTAATTTCCTGAGACTTTAAGAAAGTGATATCTGATATTCAATCTTAAGCTGTTTCCATTTCTGTGGTGCTACATTCCTTACAAATGAGAGCTCTCCAGACAACATGCTATGGATGTGTTGCAAAATAACAATCCCTCGGCCCTTGAGGCTGCTGCATGGGACCTGGGCGGCGTCTGGAGATCATCAGGAACAAGGAACCGAGGAGCTGGTGAAGGGGTCTGTGTTCCAGGTTCCCACAAAACAGTGACTAGGCCGAGGGAATATCTGGTGGGGCTGGTGAGGAGCACCACTCCAGGCCTGGTCCAAGTTCTCTCTTTCAACATACCTTGGATACCTTTCTTCACTTTCCATTGTGGGGACTATTGCACCTTAGCACACGTGTTCTGCAAGTTAGGGCTTGATATGAAAAATTGAATTGGATTAAAAATCCATTCACATTATCACAAAGAATTTCAACATTACATTACTCAGTGAAATATTAGGTTGAACCATATGCAACTGCTAATATTCAATCAGTTGTGACATCCAAAAATGGCAATTTTATGTGGTTTGACTACTTAATGGAAGGGCTATTAGAGTATTTAAATATAATTTCAACTCTTGAAAATTCTGGTAAAGTTTTTTTAAAAAGTTTCTCATTGATGGTAATTTTGAAGAATTTGAAGGAATCATTATATTTACCCAAAATTATATGTAACCATTTCAAACATAAAACTTCAGATAAAAATTCCCATGGAAAAAGAGTAGACACAACAGTCTATTTATTGTATGATTCCATATCTATGAAATGCCCAGAATAGGTAAATCCACAGA